AAAATTACCTCTAAAAGTAAGACTGTTCGTGTAATGTAAAGGTTTTTTTTTTTTTTTTTTTAAATATGGTTTTCAAAATCACTTAACACCCTTTCATGTAGGTAGTCAGTTTCTTTATTTTTCTTCCAAAATAATTATCGTTGTACATATTAAAAATGAAAAACTCTTAGAGGGCAAAGTCCCCCAATTAAATCCGTTATAATCCAGGGTACAGATCCGTTTTTATGAATAATTATAAGGCATTAAAAATTCGTAAATACATATTTGTTTTCCACTTGAATCGTAAAATAATTTTATAAAAAAAAAAAAAGTTGCATACAAAAATATTGGATCGTTTGGGCTATAACCTTATTTTTACATGGGGGTGAAGGTCACACCAAACGGCACAATGTTTTCTCGATTTTGGGACCAAATTACCTTACGATTTAAGTGGAAAGCCAATAGATGTTCATGGGTTTTTAGTACATAATAAGACAAAGTTCGCCGATGTGTTACGATTTGAAAAAGCTATTTACGAAGCTTTAGGCGGATGTTTATAATTTGGTAAAAAGGGGTCTGTACCACGGACTACTACTGATTTATTTATTTATCTACTGATGGGATTCGGTGTATACCTATTGTTTATGAGCTATGGTCAGTTTTACGAACAATACTCCAGTTGTTTTAAAAATGATTACTATGCAAATTAGGATTGTACTCGGAGCGTAAACCTAATCAAAAATTCATACTGACTTGTTATGCCAACCATAAACACTGTATTATTTATCTATTTTTTTTAAACAATTCAAAGACTAAGCTAAAAAGATTATTAACAGGAACTGTTATCTTTCCTACATTGGTCACGTTACTGAGAAAAAGTAACCAAGTTCCTTATCTAGGCCTATTCTGTCGTTTATTAAAATTTTTTTCTCCGAATGTAAAATATGTTCTTCTAAAGTTTTATCGCCATTAATCTTGCGAATACTTCCTCTTTAAGAATATCTATGATTTAATTTCATTCAGTGCAGGAGTGCCCAGAAGATGGTTTCTATTTGTTATATAAATAAGGCTATTATTTACCAACATTTTATTTATTAGCTATTTTATTACGAAGTTTCGACCATCACTAGGACCATTTTCAAGTCTTATAAAGTCCTCCGTTAGATATTCATTATTAATGTCGTATTAATTAGTTCAGTGAAAAATTAAATTGTCCAACAATATGATTTAATTTAATTATTTAATATTTAATAATATTATTTAATATTGGACGATTTAATTTTTCACTGAACAAATTAATACGACATTAATAATGAATATTTAACGGATGACTCTATAAGACATGAAAATGGCCCTAGTGATGGTCGAAACGTCGTAATAAAATAGTTAATAAATAAAAAGTTGATAATGGCCTAATTTATATAACAAATAAAACTTCAAGACACCAATTTTAAAAATAATGAACAGAAGAAGATGGTTTCATGGCGAAAGTTGTGCCATCAAAATTTATGAGGTGTCACATTTCGACGGGGTTAAGAATTTTCTAAATAAAAATTTTCAAATTAAAAGACAAGTGGTGTAAGCATGCCACAAATCGCAGGATGTGTAATTTAATTCATACGATCATGTATTGCAAATACATTGGTGCTAATAATGTTGTAAATTTAATGTGAATTAAAATTTTTTAAATTTTAATAAAACAAATAAATAAAAAGATGAAGAAAATCGAATTTCGAGAAAGTGGTATACAGAAAGCATCAATGTATAAGGTGTTCTATCAATGTGTTGAAGTTCTATGTTTTTATCATTATATATATATATATATATATATATATATATATATATATATATATATATATATATACATATACATATATAGTTTTTTTTTAAACCCTAATCCCAATATTTCTACTCTAGGAATTATGAACCTAATATAATATGCAAACTACTCCTCCATCCACTCCTCTCTCCACCACACCAAACTCCTAAGATACAGTTCAAAAGTCTTTTATTTTAGGTAAAAATACAAAAAAATAAATAACATTGTCTAATGTAGTTAATTTTAAAAGATGGTTAAATTTTTGGAAAGTTAAACTGGGATCTGTTTAGACTACTACAGCTTGACCTCTGTTGATTTTTCAGACGTCAACATACTAACGTATGCCAAAGAGAGTTTAAATAGACATTTCTGTGATTTGAAAAAAATGTTACAGATTAAAGATTAATTTATATATATGTATATATATATATATTATATATATGTGTGTATATATATATATATATATATATATATATATATATATATATATAAAATGTAAATTTTGGTTGGTTCGAATCCCGGCTTATGACATTAAAATTATTTATTCTGTTTCATCAATCAGGAGATCTTCCTGAGGCACACCCAGTCTCTGTAAAGCGGGTACTCTTAATTAAATAATTAATTAAGGGGGAAATCCTGGCGGTTGAGCCTGATCTTAGTTGTTTGTTATTGGTGGGGGGGGGGCGAATTTTGACATCCATGAAGACACTTCTTTGTCGTCGTATTCCCCTGTAATACGAAGTTCCTACTAAAAAAGAAATTTTATGAATTATTTAAATTGTCAATAAAACGACATTGAGAAAGATGTTGATAATTAAAAGACAATAAATAAAATTATGGAGCCGGCTTGGTCAGTTAGAAATGCCAAATAAATAATTATTTGTATGTTTATTGTATTAGTACAGTAAAGATTAGTAATTATTATACCAAACGTTAATAGGTTAAGAATAAAGTTTTAATGAAAAACACATTATATTACATATCCCTTGTCACTCAATAAAGTTGTAATTCAACATACCACCTTTTTAACAAATATTGTTAAATACATACATTTTATTTTAAAAGTCAAATAATTTACTAAATACACTCACCTATTTTTTTTTATATGGGTATAATGATATTTATAAAAGTATAACTCATAAAATATTATATTTGATTCGATCGCTAAAAGTTTTCATTACGTCGAAATAATTTCCATTTTATTATTATTGTGTCAAAATTTAGATTTTTTTTTTGTCCACTAATAGAATTTCTTAATTCATTCAAGTTCATTTTCAGACAATTATAAACAAATTGATTGATTTATAGCCTTAACAGAAGGTGGCTAATTTACTCAATTTATTTAAATACCTATATAGAGATAGTTCTATCTCAATATATAGTACATAACATCAGAAAAACTTATGTTTTATTTTATTAATTAAAATTTAATAAAATGTGAAACATCCAGCAAAAAAATTATATTTAATTGAAGATTTGCCTTATTCCTAAAACCAGCTCTCTTCCTGTAATTTTTTTAGTTTGAAAAAGCATTACATTCCGGTTACGGGTATTTTCGCAATATTAAATGTATAAAGATTGAGGTATTTTAACGTTGATAGATTTATTTTATTTACATCTAGGTTTGGGAATAGATTTAACGTTAAGACAAAAAGTTATGACTTCATTTTTTCATAACTCATAAGTTATTTATCTACGAAATTACTTGGAAATGATGCGTTTCCAATCTGAAGATTCGTATAATTTTTCTATTTAATGAGGTAATAAAAACTCAACGACACCCAAGTGCTTTCCACCTGAATGGCGAGATAGTTTGATAACAAAGGCGAGGTGGCCTGGTAAAATATTGGGCCGTTTGGCGTGACCTCCATCCCAACATGTAAAAATCAGGAGTTTATGTCAATTTATAAGTCCAATAATTTTGAAACCACATTATTTTTTTTCGATTCATGAGTTTTTGGTACCTCACTGAATTGACTAAGTTTACCCGGATTGGAAAACCCTTCCGAAATTTTAGAAAATAAAAAAATTGTAGGTTACAATAAAACATAGCCATCCACTAAATTTTTGACCTGTTAATAATTTTATAAAAAGGAGCCATACTATATGCAAACTATAAATTGGTACTTCTCAAAAGGCTGTAATATTTATTTATTTCAACCTCTATGTATAGACAGTTGTTTCTCATCATGTTTAGTTACTCGAATATAAAATTTAAAAATTTATAATCAAGCAAAAGGAAATAATCTTGAGCTTAAAATATGATGCTCTATTTCCTCTAGTCCGTGAAACATACCTCTTTTTATAAAATTATTAACATTAACTCGAAACTTCGTAAATAGCTTCATCTCATCGTAAACTACAAATATTTTATTTACGAAAATTCTCGCAGTCTATTTCGATGTGGATGTCGACAAACTTTGTTTATTTAATTAGGTACTACAAACTCGTAAATACCCATTTGCTTTCCAGTTGGACCGTAAGACAATTTTATCACAAAATCGATAACAAAAGGTGGCCTACAAAAATATTGGACCGTTTGGCCTATATAACCGCGTTATTTTAACGATTTGGAGGTGTAGGTCATGCAAACGGCTCAATATTTCTGAAGGCCACCTTTTTTCCCTCGACTTCGTGCTCAAAATATATTGTGATTCAAGTGATGGGTATTTACGAGTGTTTAGTATCTAATTAAATAGACAAAGTTTGCTGTTCTACAGATCGAAAACGCCCTAATTCCGCGAATTTTTGGAAATAAAATATTTTTAGGTTACGATGAGATGAAGCTATTTGAGAAGTTTAAGCCGGATGTTAATAGTTTGATAAAAAGGGGTCCTGTACCACAGGATACTCCTCCATCACTCAAAATATTAAAATTTCGAAGAAGTATAACATTCTTGAGTATAAAATATTTGTAACGTTGGATTTATTTTTTTGCTCGCCAAGATAAGTATGTAGTTTGTCGTTCAGACAAAGATTAATAATACTTCTTTTTTTGTTGCGTTTATAATTAATAGATTGCACTATTTTAAAACATATATTGTGTTAGTTGTTAAAACATAAGCCGGGTATCCTTAAACCAAACATTTACAAGCCAACATTTGTGTTAAAACCGCTCGGCAAAGACCTCATCAGTCACTTTTTTTTTTTTAAATTAAAGCGAACCCAGGTATATGTTAGGTTAATATTGTTTAACCAGTACCTGGCCATGCTCGGGTTTAGTATCGTCAGTTAAGTTCCCTCCTAGGGAAGGCAACTGGAAGAATTTCGAGAACCAGAACAATATTCCAAAGAGTCCCGTTGGTGATTCTACCTGGAACACACATATCCCAAATATATATATTTAAAAATCAAGTCATTAAAACAGTTGAAAATTTCTAAAACAAGTAACCAGATTTCTTGTGCAAGAGGTGATGGTATTTTGTGCGAGTGATTTTTTTTTTTTTTAAGAATAGTTTTAATTTTATTAGGTGCAATGTGATGGATTAAAGTGCATAGGAAACCGATCCAACTAAGTGCCATTTGCTCCAACTCCCTACAGCTTAGATTAAGCGTTATCTAAAATTAAACCGAGTTTAATTTTGATCGGTCGACCTTAAAAAACTTGGTTTAATCTTAGATAACGCTTAATCTAAGCTTTACTATGTTGGAGCAATTGGCCCTAATAGCCGTGGAGCCAGGATCCAAAAATCGACCTGATCGCATGCGAAGGTTTGATTGTAAATTACGAAAGTGTTTGTTATTCTGAGTAAAAAGAACCTTGTCTGCCGTTCCGGAGCCGCTGCTTTAAAAAATGGCGGCTGGTTTAAAGAATATTAGGGCAATAATTTGAGGATCGAAACGGAAAATCCATTGCGAAAAATGTGAGAAAAGTATGTATGTATGGGTTTAGACACGTAAAAAACCAAATTGCTAACGCAGGCTACCAAGGGTAAACTTTTTACAGCCAAAAAAGTCCAATTTTTCGATATTTTTTGTGTTTTTCATCTATAACTCCTAAACGATGAATCAAAGCGAAAAATGTTTTATTTGATTAATTAAAGAACGTTAAATTTTGCGTCAAACGAGTACCTTGGTGGCCTGCGTTAGCAATTTTGTTTTTTACATGTCAAAACCCATCATATATGCAAGTTAAATAAATAAAAACTTTTCTCACATTTTTCGCAATGGATTTCTCGTTTCGATCTTCAAATTATTGGTGTAATATTCTTTAAATCATCCGCCATTTTTGAAAGCAGCGGCTCCGGAACGGCAGACAAGGTTTTTTTTAACTCAGAATAACATACACTTTCGTAATTTACAATCAAACTTTCGCCTGCGATCAGGTCGATTTTTGGGCCCTGGCTCCAGGGCTATAAACCCAAAAAGTGTTGCTATCTACTTCTCATCAAATGTACAATTCACTGGAGTTTAGCTAATTTATTCTTATTCTTATTTTATTTGTATAATATTGAGGGACTATAATTTTTATATATTTATATTATTGCGTACAAAAGAGGGTCTAGGATGTCGAAGGAGAATTAATAACGTTACCTTAATGTGACTCTTAAATTCAAAAATTAAATAAAAGGAAAGTAACAATTGTAGATGGTACAATTTATTAATTAAAAACAATTAATCATAATTTTTTTTCTTCGTGAAAGAGGCACGGCCCACAGTAGTTTAAAAAAAGGCATAAAAACCTAAACATTTAATTTAGACAAGATATCTGAAGAGAACGGGATGTTTTATAGTTATAGCATGTTTGACCTTCTGAATTAATATAGACTTAAACCATTTTGGTATGAACGTCCGTTATTCTTACTGTTAACCAACAAATAAACATATATTTTATTTTATCTTATTACATATATTTTATATGTAATGGGTGATAAATATCCATAACGCAGTCGTTATAAAATTTTTTATTTGTGCCGACGTTTCAACCCAAACATGGGGTCATCATCAGGGATGAAATTTTTAAAATACATTCAGAGATACTGTATATTATACGAGTGATAATAGTAAATAATAAACTATAGTGATTGATGGTACATGAATCTTAACTAATATTACAATACAGACAAGAGTTCATATCTCTGATGTGGATTTCAGCGACGGCGTGTATTCTTGTTGTAAATAGACGGTTCCAATGATTTGATGAATTATCGAAGGAAGATTCTGTTCTACATATCATAGGTGATGAATATTCAGGACGCAGTCATTGTAAAAAAAACTTTAATTTTTTATTTGTGCCGACGTTTCAACAGTCGGCTAGCTTCCTAGATGATGACCCACATGTTTGGATTGAAACGTCGGCACAAATAAAAAAATTTAAAATTATGTTTACCATGACTGCGCCCTGAATATTTATCACTCATGAGAACAGTCGACTTCCTCATCCTTCAATATTTTATTTGTAATAAGTTGTAAAATGAAAATGTATTGTATAAGTTTATTTACCGATTCAATTATAAATATCTATTGTCTATATTACTATCAAGAGGAAATAGACAGACATTTTTGTTTTTTTGTTCTAACCTTCCTCGCCTTTTAGGCTATACGGGATTTTTCCCGAGCCAAGCGATCATTGCGGGTGTTTAATGCCAGAGTTAAAAGCTCCTAATGGCACCGGGGCGCGAACTCTTAATTATATTTTCCTCTAAATTTCGATTTCCTGGTTGCCGTGCAGTGCAGTTCACACTCGGTAGTCCGCTCGGCCATTTTGATATTTTGATTTTGAGGATACTAAAGAGTGATATTTCCTTTTCATTTGATTTGCATTCTGTTGTTTCACGTTTAGCGGAGGAATATAATCTTTACAAAATGTTAGCCCTGGTTTCTCTTCTCGCACCCGCCGTACAGAGAGATAAATAAATTCATATTTAATGTCCATTAACATCATTATCCAGTTTATTAATTTAAGGCTTGATTAAAATGTATTTAATTATTTCGGCCCTGTTTTTTTAATAATCGATTGTTACGAAAAAAAATCTACAAATTTTAATTCTTAGACTGACCTTAAAAATAATAAATCAGGTTTTAAATATATTGTGAATTTGTTACACAATGTTTCTTTCATAAACAAAAAAAAGTGAGGAAAGAGTGAAAAAAAAGTGGAGAGCTACAATGCTCAAGATTGCAGGTTTGAGTCTGGCTGTGACAGATTATTATTTATTCTGTAACATTAGCCGTCGTGGACCGAGACGGGGTTCAGAAGATCCTTTTGGAGCACACGCATTATTAATTAAATAATTAATTATGGAGGAAAAGCTTGGCTATTGAGCGTGCTTCGGTCCAATCACCTAACTGCAAAACTGTTGACCTTGAAACAATACTGCCTTTCAGAGTAATTGAACCCAAACCACTCCATGGGTCGCAGTGGTGCAGGTTTCAACCGTAAAAATGTGCAATCCTAGTTGTTTTAATTGTTGGTAGCAAAGATTTGATTAGTTGATTATAAAATAAAAATATTTAATATTATTTAAATTCTATGTAATAATCCTACAGAACTCTAATGGTTCATTTAAGCACTTTCCTTTCGGATCAATAGATTCATTAGAAAGTCCATTTCCATTGTCTGTGTATGATTATCTGTTTTTATAAAAGTTTTTAGGAACGGTTTATTTTCAACAAGTGCGACTTAGATCTACACTCACTATGATACAGCAATTGTATTCTTGAGTGTTGTATCTTTTTTAATGATTTGAAGCTGTGATGTGTATCCTTGGGCTTTTTGGTGTTGGCTGAGTAGCCTGTCTATTATAACAAGACCGGTTCTGTTTGTTACAAATTCAAGAGAAATAAATAGAAGACCCGCGTTGCCTGAATAGCCTTTTCACCTACTCCTGCTATTCCAGAACGATTGAGAAACGCAGTATCCTTAGAAACTTTGCTATTAATGGACTGTTAGATTTGAAGTAGAGCAATGAGGCCAATAAAAAGTATTTTAGTCTGCACACGGTTGGCTAAGGTCTAAATTGGGAAGCGGAAACTGCCTTTCAAAGAACAGAAGGCATTCAAAGCCCCGCCGAACAAAATGTACGATGAAAGGGAAATCGCTGGAAAAGAAAGATTCTAAGGAATGGCGGGTATAAATACAAAGGAATACGTCGTAAATATTTATAAGTTTGGGAGTTTCAGGCCTAGTCAGTACGATTGAATGGAAACAATAAACATTTTTTTACTTGAAAAAGTGCAAAAGTATTCCGACGGTTTAAACCTTGATTATAAATAAAAAAAAAACGCTGCAAATTATTTCACAATGGTTTCATCATTTCCAAACAATTATATATCTAACGTAACATTACCTTCCTAGTAACAAAGAAAAAGAAATAAAAGGCGATCTTTATTATTATTTTTTCATCATTACTAATTTCCTAAAAAAAAAAAGGCATTACTTCAGTAACACTTTCAAAAATCTAAAACCAAAACTAAGGATATAATAACCTTTGCAGAGCATATAATAAATACCTAGAGACCATATCATTGCTTCAAATAGTCCGATTCACTAGCGGATCCAGGATTTAATTTTGGGGGGAAAAGACCTTCAGCCCGAAATTTTTTTTTTTCATAAAAATAACGATAATTACTTTGGAAAAAAAGAAAGAAACGGTGTTTAACTGATTCCTAAAGTCCTTTTAAATGTAATTACCCTAATGGATAATACTTTAAGAGATGTTTTAATATTTTTTTTTTCTTCAGCTCCAAAGCCCCTCCCCCGTAGATCCGCCCGTGGTCCGATTTTAACCATTTTATTTTTTTTTGGTTTTAGGAAATTTCGTAAACTTTTAAATAGCTATTAATATCAACAAAAGTGTATACTTTTTGAGTTATTCAAAAATCTAATTTTACCACCTTCATAACTTTTTTTCCAGCTTCTTTTCGTTGAAGTATGTTACATAGATACATTCAAAGGGCATCGAGAAGAAGACTTTAGCCAAGTTTCATCGAAATCGGTACATTCGTTTAGGCGCTACATTCTATAGCAACACAGCTTTTTCGTCCGCCGGCGAGGCGGATAGTAATGTCGATTTAGGAGGATCATCCTCGGGTGACCTCTCACTTTAAATCCGAAATAAAAAAAAAAATCGGTCAAGTAGTCAATTATTCAAAAATAGTAGTAAATTGACATCTAAGAATATTTAAACTTGGTGCAGTAGTCGTGTGCATACCACACCACGAACGAAACCCAAGACTTGTGATAGTGTACTGATACATGGAACAAATCTATTGGTCAGGTGCTGTAATGTAGTAATGAAAGGCACTCGAATTCTAAGTTTAAAAATGATATATGTATTATAATAAATATTATATTAATAAATATTATTATCA